CCTTTGGAGATGCTGCCTTCAACCAATTCGTGCTCGACACCTGTTGGAGTTTGCATAGAGTGTTATAGTACGCCTTGTAGAGGAGGAGTAGGTCTGTTTGTGTGACGTGAAAGAAACATAAAATGTGTTGATGCGTCTCCACAATCGTCAACTGAAGATGTTATCTCAAAACCGGTGGAAGCGCAACCAGGCTGTTAACTTTGGCGATAGCTAGCTAGTATGGATTAGCCCCTTTTATGTTTCTTTTTGGAGCATCACATGCCCCCAAGTGCACTGTACAAGATAGTCTATTACATGTAGGAGCAAAACAGAGTTATTGTGTGTCCATTTGGCGATGCAAGCTGGAAGCATTAGGTTGATGGTGGTTTTTGTTGTTGTTTCGTGCCTTTTCGTTGTTATTTGGTTTCTTAAAACCAAGGAAACAGTATCCCCCGTGGTACATCCTTTTATTAATAGTATCTGGCTTTCTACACTGTATGGTTTTTCGCCTTGGTGGGTAGGTACCCGTAAAAGTGATTAGTTGAAGGGGCTCCAGAGGGAAGGAGGAGGGTAAGCTAGTCGGACAAAGGCATCTAGTTGCACATGTTTTGAGTGTGGTACCCGTAAAAGTATTAGTTGAAGGGCTCCAGAGGGAGAAAGAGGAGGGTTAAGCTAGTCTGGAAAGGCATCTAGTTGCACATGTTTTGAGTGTCGGTACCGTAAAAGTAACCAGTCAAATGCACTCCAGAGGGGATTGTGTACAAGTACATGTATGTACGGTTGTACATGTATGTACGATTCGTACCCTTTCGAAGTATCTTAAAACAAGGGTTAAAATTAAAATGCATTATCTTAACAATAGGTGTGCGTGAGTCGTGCGCGCGATGCGCGCGACTGACGTCAGTCGTGTTCGTGTAACTTTGTACCACACGCTCCGTATGTAGCCTGTGGTAGGGTGTAGAACGCCTACCACACGTACGTACGGAGCGTGTGGTATGTGTGTCGTAGCCGTGTAGGATCTGTACCACAGTACAGAGGTAGTATAAGTACTGTATTTTCTATAGTAAACATGACTAATCGTCCTCCTTCTTCGTGGTTAGGTACCAGTAAAATGGATTAGTTGAAGGGGCTCCAGAGGGGAGAAGGAGGAGGTTAAGCTAGTCTCGGAAAGGCATCTAGTTGAACATGTTTCTTTGAGTTGGGTACCCGTAAAAGTGATTAGTTGAAGGGGCTCCAGAGGGGAGAAGGGGAGGGTTAAAGCTAGTTGGACAAAGGCATCTAGTTGCACATGTTTTTGAGTTGTGTGTACCCGTAAAAGTGATTAGTTGAAGGGGCTCAGGGGGAGAAGGAGGAGGTTAAGCTAGTCTGGACAAAGGCATCTTGTTGCACATGTTTCTTTGAGTGTGGTACCCTAAAAGTGATTAGTTGAAGGGGCTCAGAGGGGAGAAGGAGGGGTTAAGCTAGTCTGGACAAGGCATCTAGTTGCACAAGTTTCTTTGAGTTGTGGTACCCGAAAAGTGATTAGTTGAAGGGGCTCCAGAGGGGAAGGAGGAGGGTTAAGCTAGTCTGGGACAAAGGCATCTAGTTGCACATGTTTCTTTGATTGTGGGTACCCGTAAAGTGATTAGTTGAAGGGCTCCAGAGGGGAGAAGGAGGAGGGTTAAGCTAGTCTGGACAAAGGCATCTAGTTGCACATGTTTCTTTGAGTTGTGGTACCCGTAAAGTGATTAGTTGAAGGGGTCCAGAGGGGAGAAGGAGAGGTTAAGCTAGTCTGACAAAGGCATCTAGTTGCACATGTTTCTTGTAGTTGTGGTACCCGTAAAAGTCACCAGTCAAATGCATCCAGAGGGATTATGTAAAGTACATGTAGTGGTTAAACATGTATGGTAGTACCTTAAGTATCTTAAAACAAGGTATCAATCAAAATTCGTTATCTTAAAAATAGTGTGGTGCAATTCGTTGCGCGCGCACCTTGCGCGTTTCTACGGCACATCCTACGACATGTACGTACGTATCGTGCCGTAGCCGTGCGGTAGCCGTGTAGGATTTGTACCGCACGGTACAGAGGTAGTATAGTACTGTAATTTGTATAGTAAACATGACTAATCGGTCTCTGTCTTCGTGGGCCCGGTACCGTAAAAGTGATTAGTTGAAGGGTCTCAGAGGGGAGAAGGAGGAGGGTTAAGCTAGTCTGACAAAGGCATCTAGTTGCACATGTTTGAGTTGCGGTACCCGTAAAAGTAACCAGTCAAATGCACTCCAGAGGGATTTGTACAAGTACATGTATGTACGGTTGTACATGTATGTACGTTCGTACCCTTTCGAAGTATCTTAAAACAAGGGTTAAAATTAAACATGCATTATCTTAACAATAGGTGTGCCGTGAGTGCAGCGCCGTGCGCGCGACTGACGTCAGTCGTGTTCGTGTAGACTTTGTACCACACGCCCCGTATGTAGCCTGTGGTAGGTGTGTAGAATCGCCTACCACACGCTACGTACGGAGCGTGTGGTATGTGTGTCGTAGCCGTGTAGGATCTGTACCACATGGTACAGAGGTAGTATTGTACTGTATTTTCTATAGTAAACATGACTAATCGGTCCTCCTTCTTCGTGGTTAGGTACCGTAAAAGTGATTAGTGAAGGGCTCCAGGAGGGAGAAGGAGGAGGGTTAGCTAGTCTGGACAAAGGCATCTAGTTGCCATGTTTTTTGAGTTGTGTACCGTAAAAGTGATTAGTTGAAGGGGCTCCAGAGGGGAGAAGGAGGAGGGTTAAGCTAGTCTGGACAAAGGCATCTAGTTGCACATGTTTTTTTGAGTTGTGGTACCCGTAAAAGTGATAGTTGAAGGGGCTCCAGAGGGGAGAAGGAGGGGTTAAGCTAGTCTGGACAAAGGCATCTAGTTGCACATGTTTTTTGAGTTGTGGTACCCGTAAAAGTGATTAGTTGAAGGGGCTCCAGAGGGGAGAAGGAGGAGGACTAGTCTGACAAAGGCATCTAGTTGCAATGTTTCTTTGAGTTGTGGTACCCGTAAAAGTAAGTAAGGCTCCAGAGGGGAGAAGGAGAGGGTTAAGCTAGTCTGACAAAGGCATCTAGTTGCACATGTTTCTTTGAGTTGTGGTACCCGTAAAAGTGATTAGTTGAAGGGGCTCCAGAGGGGAGAAGGAGGAGGTTAAGCTAGTCTGGACAAAGGCATCTAGTTGCACATGTTTCTTTGAGTTGTGTACCCGTAAAAGTGATTAGTTGAAGGGGCGTCCAGAGGGAGAAGGAGGAGGTTAAGCTAGTCTGGACAAAGGCATCTAGTTGCACATGTTTCTTTGAGTTGTGTACCCGTAAAAGTCACCAGTCAAATGCACTCCAGACGGGATTATGTACAAGTACATGTAGGTACGGTTAAACATGTATGTACGGTACGTACCTTTTCGAAGTATCTTAAAACAAGGGTATCAATCAAAATTGCGTTATCTTAAAAATAGGTGTGGTGCAATTCGTTGCGCGCGCACCTTGCGCGTTTCTACGGCACATCCTACGACATGCTCGTACGTATCGTGCCGTAGCCGTGCGGTAGCCGTGTAGGATTTGTACCGCACGGTACAGAGGTAGTATAGTACTGTAATTTGTATAGTAAACATGACTAATCGGTCCTCTGTCTTCGTGGGCCTGTCGCATTTGTCTCCTTCCCTCCGCAATGTCGGATGAACAGCCTCGAGGCTTTAGACGTGTGGAAAAGGATTGCCTTCTTTTTTTCCATCTTCGGAGTTCGGAGTATCATCTAGATAGTAGTACATGGTACTAGTACCGGTACGTACTTCATCTTGGTTCTTTTTACTGTTCCCTGTTGAAAGAAAGAGACATTTGACAGAACGAGGGAACGAGGGTGTGATGTCAGAAGGAATAGAGCATTTATTTGTGCTTCCCACGGCTCATGTGACAAAGTGACAAACTTGGTTGCACTTATTCATCGGAGTGTCATTCAATGTACATAAGTGTGATAAGTGAAAAGAGAATTATGAAAACAAGATACAGTGCTATCATCTGCCAGCACCTCCAGGTAAATGAGGGAAAAAGGGAGTAAATGTTTGGCAATTGGAATAAACTGAGTCCCACTTGGAACACCGGTCTTTAGATCTTTAGATGTCTCTTTCAACTGTCTCCTTTTTAGAGACAGCTGTCTCAATTAGGAGACGGTTGTCTCCTTTTTGAGACAGCTACAGAGAGTGGGGGTAAAACTACGTTTACCATATAATAATTTGCTTTAGTGGTTTTCCAAACCCCCTGAAAACTTTGACTGTGGTGTGGCTAATGCAGTGTCTAGAGATTGCATATTGCGTTTCTGCCATCAATGGCCAAGTCACTGTGTTGCTGCTACATGTAGCTAGGTGGTCTTTGGATCAGAAATTGGAGGAAGCTGCAGCTTCTTTTGTTGCTGAAGAAGCTGCAGATCTGACCCTGTACAAGAAACTTGTTACTGGTTTGAAAATTGATCTTGACGAAGAGCCCAAGATTCGAGAGTTGATTGAAATCGGGAAAACAGACTTGACCCAAGGAGATCATGCATGAAAAGCTCTGTGGAATCACTAACCCAGAAAGGCTCTCCGTATGACGGCCAAGATTGCGACCCTCTTTGACCCATAGCTATGTCATAATATTGCCAGTGTGGTTTTCTCCTACTCTTATCCAACTTGCGGGAACAACACCTTTAGAAGCGAATGCATTATCCTTCATGGGCTTGCCGTGTGGTGAAAACAATTAAAATTGGTGTGTCCGTCCTTGGTGTCAAGTCACACGATCCGAGTGGTTGGACAGTTCATCCACGCCACCCAAACCCAATATAGTTCTTAATTGAAATTTTAGTTGTCTACTCTGGGCTCGTTTCCGACAACTGTAGTCAAATGCAGCACTTCAAATGTATGAATACAACATCGATAGATTCTCCTTCGTGAACTGCTTCACCCAGCCATGGAGCTCTTGGAGGCAACACGTGCTCCGTCTTAAACGCACAAACAAAATTCATGTGAAACTTGGTCTAAGCTTCTGCGTCGGTGTCTCCGCCAACCATCACATGTGTCTCGGTCAAGTCCATATCATCCTTCGCTTGCTGGTCGGTCAAATCGGGATCTTCCACGTCGACCTCTTTGAAAACCTCATCCTCAACGGGCTTCTTGAGAAGTTCCTCTTCGTCATCGTCCTCATCCTCGTTTTGCCAAGTGGCTTCAATTTCCACCTCGGTATCATCCACAAGGTCGGTGGGGATGATGAGATTGAGAATAATGGCCGTGATGCTGCCAATGAAATAGGGCGTGTTCACAGCGATCATACATCCGACGCGGAACGAGTTTGCAGCATCCGACATGCCTTCCTTGTAAGGCCACCACTGGTTTGGGCGAGAGGCTCCTACTCCAATGCCTGGACTGGAAAAGGCAGGGACCAGAGCAGTGCCAACTCCCAAGGCCAAAGAAGCAGCCACAATGTAGTGAGTTCGTCTGTCAATCCTGGACAAACTGATGAGCTTGATTCCGCTCACGATAATGTTGCTAAAGAGAAATGTGAGGGCACCACCGAGAACCTGCAATTACCAAAGTTCAACCAGGCGAGTGATATGGTGAGATTCTCAAATTTTTTGTGAGGTCTTGGGCGCCGCCTCATCTCGGCCAGTCATAAATACTTACGCAATCGGGAATCGACAAGATCCAGGCTCCAATCTTGGCAATGACACCAAAGATGAGCAACCAGAACCCACAAGAGTATCCAGCGGACGTGGAGGCGCATCTGGTAAGGGCAACAATACCGTTGTTCTGCGACAAGGTTGTGTTGGGTGGCGTGGTCCCCAACGCCGCAAAGAAGGTGGCCACCGCATCACCCAACAAGCCACCCTGAATGCGCTTGGAATGTTGTTCACCGGAAGGACGCAACCTGGATGCATGCTCTGTAGCTGTAATATCCCCAAATGTTTCCATCGCCGTAACGAGGAACGCAAACAACATTGGGATGATCGCTGGACCGTGCACGCCAATCGGGAACGTTTCGACCCTATTGCGACAACGCAAAGATCAGTTTCGGGAAAGTAGTTTCAGGGAGCCGCACGAGTGAAGCAATATTGAAAGCTTACCAAAGGAAGGTAAATGCATCGCTGCTTTTCATTCGATCCGTGGTGACAAAGCGGTCTCCTTCGTGCGAGGCCATTGCTGCGATGGCGTATCCTCCAAGAAGACCCCTGACCACACAGGACAGGATGCATTATGCAGTTCGGTTAGCTCAAGCAATACTCAACCACAACACAGCCACCATACCGCATACGACACGTACCAAATCACCATTGTATTGCGAAAGAAGGGGCTTCCTAAAATGCAAGCAGGTTCATACCGTGAGTGAGTTGGTCAAGTTTGGTACACAACTTTGCAATGGTTGATTATGTTCAGACGCACCAAAGATTTCGACCACCAAAAAGATAATGTAGACGGAAAAGCCCATGGCAACGTAGGGAGCACTCCCAAATCCGAGCTGGACTTCACCGTTTCCCAGGCAGGGATTGTCCGCACTGGGAGCTCGCGAGCAACCCACACCACCTCCCCAAAACTTGATTCCGGCTCCAGTCAGCTGGACCCCAATCAAGGTTACCGTGACACCCAAGACGAAGGGAGGACAAACACGCTTGAGGATCTTGTAAGGGATGAAGGAGATGAAAGCTTCCAACCAGACGCACACCATGATGGTTCCGAGCAACTTGCCCCAGGCTTGTTCCAAGGTGTACCCACGTGACATGATATCATAGAGGATCACGGGAAAGATGGCATTGTACTGGTTGGCGGTACCCATGGTCGACAAGACGCCAGTGCCCAACTGATACGACGTAAAGGGAATTTTGATGCAGGACACTTGCATCATGGTGCCAAGCCCACTGCAAATCAAGGAGGCGCTGACCAGATACTGCGCCACATCCAAAGCACGCTCACGGTTGGCCGCCTGTTCTTCGCCCAAGTTGGGATCGTAGATTTCGGGGAAGAAGCTCATGACGACGTTAAAGACGAGCAAGGCAGGCGTGATAATGTTGGTACTCATGGTGAGGGCGTGCTGCAAGCCAATGCTCAAACTAACCAACAGACTGAGAGGTTCGTCGTAGGCATAAAAGGGAGGAGGATCATAGAGCTTGCCCTTTTTGCAAAAGGGAAAACGGGGAGTACACAAGAACTTCCAATCATAGTCACCGACAATGGCAGCCTTGGGGCCTTGTTCTTTCCAAGCGCGAATGAAGGCGGACGACATGGTTTTGTTTGCTTCGCTTGATTGATCAACTCAAGAGGACGAATGTTCGCTGGGAGATGCAGGAAAAAGGGATACACGTGAGGGACATGCAGTCAAACACACATTATCGTGATGAGCAAGACACAATTATTTGATGCACTTACCTGATTGCAATGCAAAAAGCAGAACCTTGGAAAATAATGAGCTCTTGCTGGCGCTAGCTAGGCTAGCTAGGATGAACGATGCAACAGAATAGTGATGATGCTGATTGAAAGATCCAAGAAGTTGCGTTGATGGCTCAATTGTTCAAGCACAATCCTCTTGTTCTGCGAAAGATGAATGAGGCAAAATGTGAAGCGGAAGATCGTATCTTTGTGCTGCTTCGCTTGATAGGGACGGCACTTGCAGCTCTGGGGGATCACTTTATGGATTATTTATAGTCACTTTCCCTGTGTGACACCTTCTATGGATCTTTGTGCATAATAAATAATAAATATGGTACATATGTACATGTACCGGTACCAGTACCACAAGACCACAACAGAAAACTTCTGCAGCTTGCCGAATTCTGAGGAGCCAGACGTGCAAAGCTACAAGAACAATAGATGGCCAGTAAGGTTGGGTCAAGATTGTTGGCTCTTGCGTGCATCCACGGCGGTGAGGCTGGTGCCAAGTTCTCTAGCTAGCTAGACGTAAGACAAATCATACATGCAGGAGAAAATTAATTCCCAGTGGCTTTATGATATTTGAGGTACAAATAACCAGCTCCAACGCTACAAAGGCAACAACACAGATAAAGAGCCATGTTTGTTGCGTGATCTTGCTGTCAAAAATAATGAGATACCTGCCCCTAGCTAGAATCTTGTGGAGTGATCCGACCACGGCATTGGTGGTGGGACCCGTGGTTTGGACACAATAATAATGGAGTGGGACAACGTTGAGCAAAACTCCCATGATCAGTCGAATGATCCTGCCACACAACTAACTCTCGCCAAATTAAATAAGTAAGTAGAATCAAATCCCCTGCGGCTTCCAGCGAGTTGTGCTTGGTTCTTCGAAAAAAGAGAATGGATGCGGTCCTCTGTCGAAATGGCTGGGATCTGCTTTGTAACCAAAAAGAGATACACACAAAGTGACCCACGACGCCGAGATATTGTTGGCGCCTTCCGCGCACCAACACAGAGATATTACATGCCTTCTCGTGCCCCAAAACTTGTTTTACTACAAGTTCTCGCGTGGATTGCCGGGACATGGTTTTTGATGAGCATTGTCAAAATATTGCAAGGCCCCCCTCCGCAATTGTTCGTCAAAGCCTGGTTGAGCGATTCGATGCTTCGCGATCTTATGATTCGATTCCTTCCATTATACCGTCTTGACGGAATATTCCGTCGTGGAGCTGGTGAATTGGTCTGAAGAGGAGGACGACGACGACGCCACCGACGAGCTCTTGGCTGCCGTCAAATGGTTGGCGGTCTCGTGTTCCAAATACTCCACAATTTCGGGTCGACTGTGTGGATTGCGTTGTACCATTTTCAGAGGTGTCTCTCCCAATTTATGAATACGAGACAAGGACTCGGGAAAGGCTTGTACTAAGCGCTGCATGACGGGCAATGTGGTGGATTGTGGAATGGTGGCTTGACAGGCATTGTGAATGGGGAGGAATACGTGTTTGGTGGTTTGTCGAATGGCGTCGGGATTGTGTTGTAGAATAAATTCAATGACATCCAAGGAAGCGGCATAGGAACACGCCGCATGCAACGGAGTGGACTTGAATTCCGTCGTCGCGACCATGGCAGGAGGGTGTGCATTGTACACGGTTTCTACTGTGCGCATGGAAGCCCCTAAAGCAATGATGCGATTCAAGGGAAATGAACGGATAAGCCCTCTACCGTTGGCGTTGCGAAATTCGTATTCTACTTGTACCGAACGAGGATTCTCTTGGACATGACGGTATACGGCTTTGTCATTGTAACGTTGACGGTCTTCGATATTCCACGGTTGGTAGTTGATCAGAGCAAACAACTCGGGATCGGGTTCTGGAGGTCCCTGCTCAAAACACAGACAGACAGAAAACGAGTGCCACAGTGAGAATACTTCTTTTAAAATGCAGAGCCATAGTCTCCACACTTCTTAATTCATACGTACCAACTCACTGTCCCATCCAGTTAGATGGTACAGCTTCTTCTTTATCGATTTCTTGGCGTGGGAAAGCACGGACTTTGCAGCACCTTTACTGCTGCTGTCATCCATTCTTCAGGCAACCCTTTTCGTCCATGTAGCTATCTGATCAGCTCTTCCTGCCTACCTACCTACCAGCAACAACCATGGGACTAGTGAGAAACACACCAGAGTGCCTTTACTTCCGATGGTAGGTGGTCCGAGGTCCAAGAGCTTGGAGGCATGCAAAGTGCCGAGCTGTCTCTGTGCGGGACTGCTTCGTGGTCAGTCTTGGGCGATTCGTTGCAATCCAGGGAAGCTGCCAAAAAACCTCGAAGCCACGAAAATCGCGAAATGGCACATCATCATTGTCTGAAAGAGATGTCAATCTGATGGCACAAACTGCACAACCAATGAACACAATACAATCGCAATCGCAAAGCAGTCAAAGTGGCACAGTAACTTCACTGACACAACATCATGATCTGCTCGGCTACTAGATACCGTACGGGCTTCTTGTTCATCCATAGCACCATCCTGTTGCCTGAATGCATGCAATGCATGCATCTATCTTTAGGCTCTCATCCGCCTTCTTTGTTCTCATAAACTCACTCGCCGCCCTCGAAGCAAAAAACAAGAAATAGTTTCAAAAGCATTCAAGCTAAAGAATCTCTAGCTATCTAGACAAAATATCAAGGCACCATGTACAGTCGACAAGAACATTCATCCTCATCATCACTCAGCTCCATTGTTGCGGTCGTTCAAAGGTTTGTTGGCTCGCCATTGTGGCTTGTGGAAGCCGTGGCAGTTTCATTGACACTGGGGGCTTTGTTGGTTGGATCATTGTTGATGCAGCTGTTGGTGGTCGGATCCATGGTCCTTCAACTTTGCCCTGGTTCCAAAAAAGCAAAGTATGTTGTCCCTTTGTAACGTACACACCTCTCCACTCTTGCCAAGACACCAACACTTGCATTTTGTAGCATATGTACCGTACCACCAACACAATCATCTTGTCATGATTAAACTAGCTAAATAAAGAGAGAGGTACTATACTATAGATTGAATGGAATGGAATCATTCCTCCCAAAATAGACGTCGTAGCTAAAGCTATCATACATACTTCGGAAACACGGTAACGGTAGCGTTAGGTACCGTGTACCGTGTACCTGGTACGCTGTACCACGCCAAATTCTCTTGAAAGAAGGCCTGGAAGATTGATTTGATCGGAAGGATTGATTTAGGGAAGCTACCCGCTCCGCTGGCTTAAAATAACCAATCGGAAGAGCAGGCGCCACGCAATTGATCGGCAATGACAAATTAGAAGTCACTCACCTCCATTCGATCATTGGCATGCTACAAGTCTACACGGTATTTTGCTTCTAGACGATTGCATCACACCTTATAGTTGCTTGCTGTGTGATCGCTAGCTGCTACATAGCATAACATACATTGTAGTATGGCAAGACAATAATGTTCCGAGCGAAGGTCTTATGGGGCAATGCTGCTTCATTGAATTCTCGCCCTTCTCCCTTTGACAATGACTACGACGAAAGTGAGGTGGACGATGACATTAGCGCCGTGGTAGAAACTTCCAAGCCCCCAGGACTGGTCGGTATTGTCTTTGGTTTCATGTTTGAAGAGTCGTTGACAGACCCCGACCATTTGGACGATGAGATATTGCGCGTCCACAAGACGAGTCAGCAGCCAACGCCAACGTTGTGGAATGCGCTCAACACTCCCTTATTCATTGCCTACGCTCTCACTACGGCCGCCACGGCAGTTCCAGCCACTCTCATTCCTGCCATGAGCGAATCACTCCAATTATTGGACGACAATACACCGGCATCTTTTGCTCCCCGTGTTACTGCCTCGGCCGTCATGGGAACTGCCTTTGGAAAGTTCATTTTGAGTTCCATGGGAGATATCTGTGGCGCACGACGAACGGCGGTAGTCTGTGCCATACTCATGTCGGCGTCCTTACTGGCGCTCAGTCTGTGTCGCACGGCCAAGGCGGCCTATTGGGCCTGTTTTTTTGTCGAGTTCTTCCAAGCCGTTCAATGGCCCTGCATTATTGTCATTTTGGCCACGCATTATCGACGGCATGGCAATGCTGCCTACGAAGGAGGAATTTTTGTCACTTCTCTGGCATCCCGATTTGGAGTTTTGGTCGGCATTCCAACATCATCTCTGTTGTTACGCAACACCAAATGGCGCTGGGTGGCGGCCATGGCGGCATGGACGGGAATGGTCGCATCCTCCATTCTCTACTTGTTCGTATGGGATTCTGCCACAAAAACCGATGATCCACAAAATCCCATTGATCCACAACTGTTGGCACAATACAAACGAAAACAACCGACTCTGGCCAATGTCATTTCCCTGCTCCTGGCTATTTTTCAACGAAATGTGGCACCATCTCTCAAACACGTCCTCAAGAGCCCGGCATTCTACATTATGGCCATTGCTCATACGGGTTCTTCGGCGGTACGAACGTCGGAACGCATTCTCGGTTCCTACTATCTCGATACATCACTCAATACACTCTCCGAAAATCGGGCCGGGGGATTGGCCGTGTTTCTGTCGTTTGGAACCATACTGGGCTTGACGGTAGCGGGAAATGTCTACACGCGAGGCACCGAACGACAACGAAAACGATTGGTGACACGACTCTACTTTTCCACCATTGCGTCCTGTTATGTCCTGGCCATTCTGGCCATTCCGTGGCTGCGCACTACGTTGAATGCTCCATCCCTCGTGTTGATCTTTCAAGTCATGGCGACCTTTGTCATGGGCTTTTCCATTGCCGTACAGCTCTATCATATTCCGTCTCTGGTCGGCGCCACGTTTGGCTGTGACAAGGGATTGTACGCGGGATACACGGATGGAGTCGCCTATGCACTTTCGTCATTGTTGTGGAGAGTGGTGGGAAACTCGGTGCAAACCGATGGATCGGCGGGAGCTGGATGGGCATACGGGTGGGCCGCAGTGGCTCTTATTCTCATTATCTCTGCCATTTTCATGGTGGAGTTTATGGAACATTACTTTGTCCGGCCGGGAGCAAGGACGGCTGGAGGGTACGAAACGATCATGTTTGCCTAACATGACTAACATACATGACAATGACAAGTGAGATCTCCTTGGATCGAATCAGCAATCCACCCACTATTGCCAGGCAGCCTACATACGGTGAACAGCGAACCGACACTGTCTGTCCTTTGGATACTCATAATGCCCTCTTGCCCAGGAATGCCAGGATCAACATCAGTGTTGCACTGAATAAAACAACTGACAGGCAATCTAATATTGTCAGGTCTTGAGGCTGGGCCCTCGAAAATATACCGCACATGCTGTCGCCGGCTAGATCTATCTAGCCAGCTTCGCTTTCCTGCTGTTGCTTGCCACTCAAGTGGCGGCCACTGGGACTGGTTCGCGCTGACTTATTAGTTTTGGCTTTTCCCTTGTAAAACTCTAGAGTCGGCACTATCTAGCTAGCTCTAATCGATCAAGTGTCAAGCCAATAAAGTCTTTGGCTCAAGCCTGCGTTTGCTCTTGCTTCGTCGTCTGCCTGGTTGGACTTGAATCGTCTCCCGAGAACTGCATGGGTCCCAGATATCGCCCGGAATGCATAACTCCAAGGAACACCGGCGAAGTTACTATGGGTTAGAGAGGACTATGGTGAGGATGGGTTGCAGAGGAGGGCAGGATGCAAGAACGCGAGCAACAAAAAGGGCTCGGCTGGTTCCTTCAATGCCGCGGGGGGGCTTGATTCAGGCTGCCGAAGGCATGAGCCCTCAACGAGTTTGATTTTGATTGGCAGTAGCTACGTCGTAGGCAAGCCAGGCTAGCTGGCTGCAGCTGTAGACCTAGCTAGCCAGCCATCTGTTTTTCTTTTGGTAGTCTACTTCTATTAGGGTTATGGCTAAAAACTGTGACACACAAACGGACAAACCAACAAATAGACAAACAGACAAACATCCAAACAAAATTCACAAGGGCCCTAACCAGTTGAGGGCTAAACCCCATGCTTGTGCATCGAAGTGGGACTGAACAGATTGGTTACTGTAGCCGACCGCCCACATTCGACCTTGATTGCATAGACCTGTTACCTCGATTGCATACAAGAATTTCAGGCGGTTAGATTACTTAAATTATCTACGAAGCCATTACAAGGGATTTTACCTAGGTTCCGACGAAGCCTCACAAATCAGTCCTAGCTAGCTTCCTCACAACAACCAATACCCCATCTGTCACCACGAAAAAGATCCACTCGTCAACAGAAGAGCACCATGAACTCTCATTCATCCATGTACGCTCATGCATCCAAGACGCCCTACATGGCAGTTTCCTACGTTTGGTTCTTGATACAAGTAGAAGCTCAATCGATATGGAGGCAATATCTTCGCGTTTGGAAAAAAGATTCGTCTTCTGCAGTGCTCGTGGACAGGTGAAGAGACAATATACCGGTACCAGTCAGGCATGGGTACTTGCTTCCCACCAGTGCTGCACTTCACTCCGTCCCATCAAATTTGCTGACAGCATTAATTAAATACCACATTGCACCTTAACCATTACTAGCTAGAGAGTGTTTCGTTACTTGTACTACCTGTAGTTTGATCCCCACTTTGGAGTGCTGTGGACGCCAAGGCCAGCTACTCGTGGCCGTATCAGGACCATTGGCAGGCCAGCAAACCAGGCAATGGTGGCTGCAAAGGAAAAGGCCACTCTAGTTGGCGTTCACGATACTGGCTAATAGAGGGTTAGCTTCGGTCGAACGAGGCTGGAAACTAGACTACTACCGGTACCGGTAGCTGAAACTAGACTACAGCGTGTCAAAGATTCAAATGATTAAGCCAATGCAGCTGTCTGAAGCATCATGGTTCTATGAAAGGCTACTAGTAGGGGGTTTGGAGTAGACTAGAGTGATCTGGGTATTAAGACCTGCAGTGCATTAAGGCCCACGCAATATTCTTGGGATTGTACAGTAATTTCTATAGTACCGGTACCTAAGACCTAACCAGAGTAGCTAGTCTAGCTAGCTAGTAGTGGTAAATACCGGTACCGGTACCGTACTTCCTCTACTATCCACACTCCTTCCTCTACACTCCTTCATCTATCGACACTCCTTCCTATACTATCGACACTCACTGTGCTCTATCGACACTGGTTCCTCTATGTATCCACACTCCTCCTCTAGCTAGTCTACATGTATGTATCGACGTGGAGATGTAGCTAGAGGAACGAGTGTTGTCGAGGCCCATGTCAGAAGATAGAGGTGTCAGAAGATAGAGGTGCTTGGAAACTCTCTATTAATAGCTAGAAGAGGTGCTGCCCATGTGTTTCATGCATGTGCGAAGAGACGATAGACGATAGAGGTGCTTCGCACCTCTACGGGAGCGAAGCAACGATAGAGGTGCGAAAGATACGGAGTTTCACTCGATAGAGGTGCGTCGTGGTGTTTCACTCGATAGAGGTGCGTACGTAGGATCCTACGTAGATTCAGTACTAGAGGCACGACTGACGTCATTCGGTCTTAATCTGCAGCCAAAAGAATTCGATGACCGTTGACTGCATATCTTCAACCGTCCATAACTCCCCCAATAAGTACAGTATGAAGATGAGAATTTTTTGGCTTACTCAGCAACATGTGTTCTATCGATTCCCCTCTTTACATGTACTATATTCGATATACAGCCCTGAAGAGAGTATTCCAGGAAACGGTCGGTCGTAAAGCCCAGATCACTCTAGGGAAATTATCTACGGAAATGGTCGTCCCATGGCCATTGTTGATCGAATGTTACTCGATAGCTGGTCACATCATGGCTATGCTGCCTGCATGTGAAATATAGTGGAAGTCTATTGATATCAAGACATGCAGGAGATTGAATTCATGCAATTGGTAAATGAAGTGGTGCACTTAGGCTGAGCCGTACCCCTCCAGTCTTTTATTAGTCTCATAAACTCGCAAGAAGAAGCAACAAGCACTACAAAAGGATTCATCCACTCACCATCGAAAGCATCCAAGCTAATGACAATCCCCAAAGCACCATGTACAGTCAAGAACGCTCAACCTCCTTACTTGTCTCAATCTTTAGCTCGTCCATTTCAACCGTGTCCTTTGGCTCACTGTGGGTTGTGGAATTTTTGGCGGGCACTTTGACAATTGGGGCTTTGGTATTCGGATCAATATTGATGCAGTTGGTTGTGGTGGTAACCAAGTCGATTTGCCCTGCCTCCAAAAGAGCCAAATACGTCACCGCTTTGTAACAACCACACTGCTGCAGCGGATACACCAACTACCCGTATCCTGCAAGGTCCTGAAATGGGACTAGTTTCACGCTTTTGGGTTAGTTTCACGCTTTTTGTTAGTTTCACCGAAAATGGATCACCGTTTCCTTGAAACTAACCCAAAAGCGTGAAACTAACCCAAAAGCGTGAAACTAACCCAAAAAGCGTGAAACTAACCCAAAAAGCGTGAAACTAACCCAAAAAGCGTGAAACTAACCAAAAAGCGTGAAACTACTACAGTATCTGTCATAGTAAATCAACGTAAACACGACTAAAAGCGTGAAAATACTTAAAAGCGTGAAACTAACTCAAAAGCGTGAAACTAACCCAAAAAGCGTGAAACTAACCAAAAAAGCGTGAAACTGACCAAAAAGGGTGAAACTAACAAAAAGCGTGAAACTAACCCAAAAGGGTGAAACTAACAAAAAGCGTGAAACTTTCCTTTGAGTCCCGTTTCAGGACCTTGCTGTAGCGCATGTACCAACACCATCCAATGACCAAGCCAGGACCTCTGTGGAAACGTCATTCGTGGCAAAATACTTAGGAGACGATACACCGAGGAATAAGAGACGATCGAAATGATTTAAGAGACGAAAGCAATCGTCTCCTATATTTAGGAGACGATTCAGTAGGAGACATTCCAATTAGGAGACAAAAATTTCGAAATAGGAGATGATCCGAAAGCTTTAGGAGACGATACCATACAGTTTACATGGTACACTTAAAAGACGATCCGTTGAGAATAGGAGACGATCCGTTGAAAATAGGAGATGTTTTAAGAGGAGACAAAAGATTTATGAGACGATCCGTTTCGTCTCCTATTTTTAGGAGACGAAATCCATTAAATAGGAGACGATCAAAAGGATTTAGGAGACGAAAAGTAGCACGACTCGAGTTTCCACAGAGGTCCAGCTAGCTAGCTATATTATGAGGCAGTAGTTCGCATAACAGAACATAAAAGGCTTGGTACAGAAAGTACAGCGGGACCGCTGTACCGCCATCGGCCCAACCGTACACTACCGCTGTAGAGCCCCTGTAGAGCCATTAGCCAATCAGAATGGATCGTTTCGATGACGTCAGTCGGCTGTGATTCATCTCTGTGTCAGCTCGATCAGTCTCTCGTGGTGTTGTTTTCGTGGTGTTTCGTGTTGTTTTCGAAAGACCGACAGAGCATACATCCAGAGGATTCGAGGATTTCGAATTTGAGCGAGATAGTGAAGCAAGACAATAGAACCGAGGTCATCCCGTCCGTATTCAGTAGCCGCAGAGGTACTTCGCAGAGGTACTCGTACTCACCGCAGCCGAGGATATATCCGCTTTCATCGCAATCCTCCGAAGACGATGAGTGCGAGTACGAAAGAGGCGCTGGCTGGTATCGACCACTACATCCGGAACCTGTACTCCAGTGGACGGTTCCCCAAGGTGGACGACAACGGCATGGTGTTCTTGGCGGCTGTTGGCAAGATAGGACGTGCCTCTGTGAAAGCTAGGACTCCTCTAGTGGCGGGGAAATTGGATCAATATTGGCAATGTTGCCGTGCTCGCTGCTGAATCATTCGATCGAATGCACTTCAACATGATGCGGCAGGGCAACACTGGTCTCAGGGGTAGGCTGAGGCCCCAGCATGCCAAAGCTTTGCTCAGAGACAAGGGTCAGCTTGTTCAGATGGCCAGGATCAATGAACATGCCGCTGGCAAGAGAAAGGCTGCTCCAAAGCAAGGTGGTCTGACCAAAGCCAAGCTGTTGGACCCACGCACAAGCTTCGCAGACATGAAGGGTTGGGCCAGGGTCCTGGGAAAGTCCATCCAAAAGACAAAGCCGAAGATGCAGGAGGCTCTGCTGCAGTGCTTTGAGGGCAAGCCAGAAGACCATGTGTTCCACTCCCACTAGCTAGCTAGCTTGGTGGTTGGGCCCCAAGGGGCCCAATCTTTATGGTTCAGAGCCCCCTTTGGGGGCTCAACCTTTATAGTACTAGCTTAAAAAATTTTCTATTATAGAGAGGTACTAGACTAGTACTGTAAATTGAAACCAAATAATCATAAATCCAAAGTCGTAACGGTAGGGTTGATCGCAGCGACTTTGTACCGGCTCCGGTGCAGATTGGCTTGTACATGTCATGTATGACTTTGATCGCGCAGAAGGCGTAAGATTTAACAAAGAGGTCCACCTGGTTCTTCTCCAAATCTTGTTTACACAACGAGATAACGAGATGCAAAAGAGACCCCCGAACCCCGAAGTCTGAAGCAATTGACGAGCTGACTGTCTGAATTGGCTATCTTCCTCTGCTGGTTGAAACGACGGGCTACCGTAGATAGAACATTGTTGACTTTCATTGGCTCGGTTGCCAGGATAACGACGAACTACCGCTAGCTAGAAGGTTAGACGTTGGTCTCCTGCCACCAGAGACATGGATCCCGAGGACATTGTATGGCAGGACGACCATGTGATTACTACACACGAAAAGGTTTATTTCAGTCTGACACGAGTGGCAGGTTTTGTGTCGGTCCTCTCAGCCGTTTGCATTCTGGTGGAAACAGTGGGAGATGTGAGGGCAGGTGCCGCCACCACCGTCACCCGACTGTTGCTGGCCATGCAAGTGGGACAAATTTGTCATTCATCGATGTGGGCCGTCGGCAACTGGGCGGCGCCCTCCTTTATCCCCGATGCCTGGAGTGCTCAAGGGACAATTTGGACCTGTGAGTTGGCGGGATTTCTACTCAACTTGGGGGCCTTGGTCGTGATTCTCTATGATGCAGCTCTGTCCATTACGTACCTTTTAATGGTACGGTACAATTGGAGGTCCTTGGCACACTGGCGGCTCGAACGAATCCTTCATTTACTGATTGGACCAACCGCATTGGCAATAGCAATTCCACCATGGCCCTTGGACCTTTACAACTTTGATTGGGGTATTTGCTGGATTGAGTATTTCCCAGTTGGGTGTGAAGGAGACGATTGTTTGCGGGGAGGGGAACCGCACAACATTTCTTTCGAATTCTACAGCTGACAGTGGCACTGGCCAGCATGGTTTTATCCGTCTTCTGTATGCTTTCCATTGTGCTCTTTGTAAGGAACACTGAAGCTCGGAATGCACGTTATCTAGAACGATTCTATCGAAATGCTCAATCCCGGCCACCACGACAATCCGATGTGTCAACCACCTCCCATGGACCAACAAGCAGCGTACGTTCCAATACCGAGGACAGGTTTTACAAGACCCGAATGATGGCTTTCCGCGGGGTCCGGTATGCCAGCACCAACTTGCTGGCGTCAACACCCATCTTCCTGCAAGTTGCATTCGATATCGATTCGCAAGTGTTTCTGGACGTTGCAGCCTGTTCATATGCTTTGCATGGATTCTATTACCTCGTCTTCTTTTTGAGAGACCGAAAGGTCGTGAGAAGTCGCTACGGGCGACTTTGGAAAAGGCTGCTTTACGTTCCAATAACGTACAATGGAGGGCATGCAGATGCTTGCCGATGCTGCTGTTGCTGTCGTTATATTACGAGGAGGCGCAATCAACAACAATGCTCAACGTGTCAAAAAGAGCAAGACAAGCTGCCCGCGACAACCAACCAACAACCTCTGGAAAGGAATTCGGCGAATTCGGCCGGTGCACGGGATTCTATAACGCCCGTCGAGAACAATGACGCCCGACCCCTTCGAAACGACGATGCCACCGTAGAGACCCACGCGAAACAAAACTCTTCAAGCATCTGAAATATCATTTGGAATGACCACCAGTCGAACTGGAATCCAGTCAGTACGTGCACGTTCCAGCCAGCGGGATCCCTGCATTGTTGTACGCAACGCGCCGCCCTACAACACTACCGTATCTCCTTCTCTCAAGCCATTTGGTGCTCCATCTGCAATGCACTCTGCGCTCAAGGAAGATCGCATACGGTAGGTTTGGTGGGGATAGTATCAAAATGGCACCGAGTTTGTCATTGTTGGTTCATGCCTTCAAAAGGAGGCCCATCGCGCAATTTCTGCGAATCAAGAGTTTCGTGAGCTACTTTACCTGTCCTGTTCATCTATTAATAACTAAACAGACAACTTTGTTGCTGGAACTCTTTTGGCACCGTTCAAGCCGTGCAGCTGGCTTACACATTTTTTTGAGACTGGCCAAACGGAAAAGCACGAGGTGCACGGAGGTGCCAAGCAGAGCCATCTCGATCTCCAAAGCAATGCAGCAACTGTTTGCTTCATGCATGGAGTACGTGTACTCGAAAACATGGAGAGAGAAGCAGACGCCCCAGCCATCAAGAAGCTTCGTTGCGGCGAACCCGACGTCAAGGTGATTCTCAGCTACGATGATGATGATGATGATCATGATGACGAGCCAAAACAACGAACCGAAGAATACGAAATGTACGGCCCTGTGTTGGCCAGTCTGAGTGGATTCTTTGACGCGGCCTTGTCGGTGGAAATGAAAGAAAAGACGACCCGTGAAATCACGATCCAAGATGTGACACCCGCCGTCTTTGAACAAGGCATCACCGTGCTGCAAGATCCCCTTGTTAGCCGGTCCATCACGGCTCAGGAGGCCTTGAAACTTGTGGAATTCTACGACAAGTACGAGTTTCGCAAAGGGCTGTTGTTGTGTGACGAAATTCTAGCCGAATATCTGGAGCAAGAATCCGCCAAGTTACCGTTTGATTTGGATGTCATTGTGGAAGCCGCAGCACAGGCACATGCCTACAATCTGACCAAAACTAACGCCAAGGGAATCCAATTTCTGCAACAACGATTCGCCAGAGATCGCAGCATCCGTAGTCCCGATCATTTGGGCTCCGGCATCTTTTCCGAACAGCACATTCGTATGCTGCAGCCCATGTTCCTGGAAGGCATCTTGGAGGCTCCGGAGGGCACCACGAGGGAAGAAATGGAATCCCCACTCTTCCCCAAGTACTTTGTCAAGTGCAAGGCAGCCGAGTTTGCGTCTCGGCAGATTCGTACCGTAAAATTGATGGGAAGTGACTGTGGAGCCGATGGACTGTACTATCTGGACGATGGAAGCTATGTTACCGAAAGCACTGGGGTTTGGCTGTACGACAACGAAGAGCATGCGGTCAACTTTTGGATTACAAAAAACGTCACATGGCAGATATTTTGTGCCAAAGAAGCCACCAACGATGGGATGTTGTGTCTGTGGATGTGTCCGCACAGCCAGAATCTAGACTTTCCGCCCAAGGGACCCTGGTTACCGGTGGACGAGTTCAGTGAATCACAGGGAAGGCCGCGGTTAGTCTACTAACTGCTAGCTAGCATTCGAAAGGAAGAAACAATGGCGGCATGTCTTTTGGAGGCCTCCTGTGTTCGTGTTTCTTAGAATCATCACTTCAAGCTTCAGCTACAAAAAGCTTATTTGACTGTAATGAGTAGAGTGGCATAAAGCGTCTTCAACCAAACATCAGCACAGATACTTGGTAACAGCAACTCTAGGCCGCGTTACATCGGGTCAGATGCCTTCCAGGGACGGCCATTTTCATGCATCGAAACCACATTGAGCAAACGCTGAAGATGGTCCTATGCATGAAAATGGTTGTCCTTGGGATGGATTGTCGCGCGCTTGCTTTAAAAAGGTGTGCTTTCAAATTCCATCAGAGCTGACGCAAACTAGGCCCATCATTGTAAAGTTGTGTCTTTTGGTGTGAGCTACCTTGGGCTGCGGTGTTGGGCGGTGACATGTAGCTCTGAGGTGATGGTTGTGTGCATGTACCGTACCCTAAAAGTACGTATTTCTTAAAACCGTGTTTTTAATTATGTGTGCGTCACAGGAGTCAACTCGCTCACACGCGATCAACCGTTAAATCTTTCCAGAATGGCGTTCCGGTGCTATGCTTGCAATGCGGTCAACCAGCCAAACTCTCCCAAAGGACATTAAGTGATGTCACCGCCAGAATGTTGGGATTACAAAATCGAGAAGAGCCAATTTACTTCTGCTGCCAATGTGAGGAGTTCATAGCCCTAGAAAGAATTATGGCAATGCCACAGAAACTTCCAGCATCCCTGAGCCCACCACATGGACATAACCCCAGAGCAACCATCAAACCAACCTCTCTTCCAGTCAACCATGCCAAGATGATGATCCCGACTACCCTATTTCCACTGTCCCCGCCAAAACTGAGTAGAAGAACTCCCAAGCAAAGTTCCCGTGCAGATAATGATGCATGTCCCAATCAGGAAAAGTTGATCCCGCTGAGAGGCAATCAGGGCGATGCTACCTATGTAGATTGCAATCAAGCCAATCTGGAAGTAACAATGAAGCCAAAACCAAGCCCAATGAAAGCCCACAAGAAGACAATGTTGGAAAGAGCCCTTGCAACTACCATTAGTCCCAGAGATATTTCTACAGCCAAACAATCTTTGAACACTGACAACACCAAATACCAAGACTTTGACTCCTTTCCACCTGAAATCAAAAGTATGCGCAGGAACATTCACCAGTGCTCCTGTCACCATCGAACAGCCACTGAATTGGCGGCAGGCCGGCTATGTTTGTGCTGCAGATGTGGCTCGAAGGCCTGCAAACTGGAGTTAAAACTGGATGCGATGGGCAAGATTCCAGCTGGCTTCGGATGTCATTCAACGGCTGAAGAGGCAGTGACCAAGATACTGGCATACCACGAGCACAGAGGTGACCCACTACCAGACAATTGGGATGTCTTATATGACTCTGATGGGAACTCAGTGGGATCCTTCAAACAAACTGAAGCCAGTGATGCCGATGTTGATTTTGATGTTGATGTTGAAACATATCAGAGAACAATGACATTACTGGAAGCTGAGTCTCCAACATGTGACAATGGAAGTCATGAGGCAAAAGAGAGTGACTGGTTCGGACAACAGCCAAACTTATTACTTAATATAGATAGTCGATCTTCTTCACAACTTTGTGTTGGAACTGACTCCAGTGTGACTGATACCACAAAGCAAGAGGGCACGAACTCTTCCATGGATGAACTTGGGTCGAGGATTCCTGTGGCAACAATGGCAACTGGAGGTGGTCAAACAACCACTGGCAAGAGATCGGCCAATGATGCTGTTGAGGATCGACCAGTAATGGAACAAGACAATGAGGGTCAACACTCAGAACAAGGCGGATCTGGAAAGAATGATGGCAACCATAATGGCGGAGGCAATGATGAACAAGGAAATGGTTCAGAGGGTGGCCAGTCAGCACTTGCTGGCACCTCAGCTGTGCAGTCCTTCCCTGGAAAAGGAGCATGCATCACGGGAATTCAAAATATGACCGATCCAATTAAGTATGGACCACTCAGAGAACTTCTCAAACTCTGCAGTGATGGAAATTGTCTTTTCTTCTACACTCATGACAAGCGAGGCGACACTACTGGCAAACCTTTACCATACTCACAGATTGAGCAGATGGATGATACAGCCCTCGGACAGGCATTCAATGTGTGCAAGCCAAAATGGGGGCAAGAGTCCAAGCACAAGTGCAGATTTGGGGCATCATTCTACTTCTACAGTCAGAAACACCTCAATGTGAGAGCTCTCAAACAAATTCCGGGAGTGATTCCTTTCCTCAAACTTCACAACTGGCAATTGAAGGCACACTCCCTTCTTCAGTCCCAGACTATCACACCTCTATTTATTCAGGGCAAACACCCCCACAAAACCAACACAGAGGCAGTGGCACAGCAGCTCATGACCTACTTCTAAACAGAGGGCATTAATGTACCTGTAGCGGTGCAAATGACTCAGTTGGGAGCAGACAAAGTCCCTATTTTGGGAATTCAATGTCACATTGAGGACGAACCCATCTTTGACAAATGGGCGCTTTCAGGCAAACATCACCCCAAGTATGATGTATTCCACAGGAAAATTCAGAAGTCAGGAAGATCCCAGGACTTGCGGAAAGCTTTGGCACAACACATGGCGGCAGTGGACGCCATCACTGGAATTCCTGTGGACAACATCAGCCCAGCCCACTCAAAGGCTGTTTTCGAATCCATGCAACAACTGACAAATGACAAAGGCCATAAAATCTTTACAGACTTGGAGCCTCATAAGACTGCTGCAGTCACTGGAAAGCACTATGTGTTATGCCACAAGGATGACCGGGATCTGGCAGTTCAGGAACTGCAAAAACTGTTTGATGTGATGCCAACAGCACAACACTTTCAAGGCAAAAAGCCATCAATACCTGAGAGACAGCCACGGCCACCAAAAGACACCAGGTTTGACGATTACTCTGTTGCACTGTCTCTGACACCAGGACTTTCCAAGATAGAAGAGATGAGGGAGACTCCCTGGGGAGCATCTCTTTGAATGGCCAAGAGGATTACAACCAGCATGTATCAAGGTGGCAGAAATTCTATAAACGAATGAAGAGTACCAAACCAGCTGCAGAGATCTCGGTGCCAGCTGTGCCCCCCACTTCTGCGATGGGAGGTGACTTTAGTGATCTCAGTCAAAAGAAATTCAAGATTTGAAGTTGGCACAAACAAAGTTAGAAGAAAAGTTAGCAGCACAGCAGGTGGCTCACCAGCAAGAGATGGAGCGACGGCTGCAAAACCAACAGGAATTCCATCATCGAGAGATGTTGAAAATGCAACAGCAACAACAAACTATCATTCAACAAGCGGTGACTCAGACCAAACAAGCACTCCTGCCAGATATGGAATCAATGTTTGAAAGACTCATGCTCAAAATGCCTTCAATTCCCCCGGCACCAAACCCTCAACCTCCAGCATCTCATTCTTATATGCCGGGGATGCTACCACCAATGGGCCAGCAGTATGGACACCCCTACCAACCACAGTATGGCTACCAACATCAGATGACATCCAGACACAACACTGGTGGTCACAATGCCAACAATACAGGAAGTGTCTACCAACCTTTGCAAGATGTACTGATGCAACGCACAGGCCAACAGCAGGAAGCCACCAGTGCAGCCAATCATCAAGGATCCACCCAGGGAACACCAACTGCACCTGGCCCAAGCCCTGCTCCACCACCAACAGGTGGCTTCGCGGGCTTTTCCCACCACCACCCGCCCCCTAGTGGATCTGCCGGTGGTGGTGCAACTTAAGTATGGGCTGGCGGCCTCCTGAGCCAGTCCTGCTACAGGATACTGACTCAGGAGGAAGCCAGCCAGATGGGGGAAACTACAGTGATGATGACTTTGATTTTGCCACTGAAACTTGGGAAGCAGTTCAGCAGCTAGTCGAAAAACACCAACCAGTGGGGGATAGAATGAAAATCAAGAAACCAAAACAGACTACCCGATTCTTTTGGAACAACAAGAATGGATTCCAACTTTATGATGCATTGGGCGGCGAATTCTTCGAAGACTGCAAAACAATGGGGATGCTGAAAATGGACTATGCAGGTTTTCAGGAGCATAATTTGGACTCCACCAAAGGATATGTGCAAGACAAAATTCACAGGGCATGTCGTCGGGCGTTTGACCAT